AAGCGTAATGGAATGGCACGAATAGGGGCAGGGCTGGGAACACTTTAAGTCTGATATTTTAGTACTGATTGGATCCAATTATTCTGTGATCTGACATGACCCAGCGGTGTTGGTAGGGGTAGGGGTAGGGGTAGGGGTAGGGGTAGGGGTAGGGGTAGGGGTAGGGGTAGGGGTAGTGGTAGGAGTAGTAGTAGGAGTAGGGGTAGTAGTAGGGGTAGTGGTAGGGGTAGTGGTAGGGGTAGTGTAGTGGTAGGGGTAGGGATAGTGGTAGGAGTAGTAGTAGGGGTAGGGGTAGTAGTAGGGGTAGTAGTAAGGGTAGTGGTAGGGGTAGTGGTAGGGGTAGTGGTAGGGGTAGTGGTAGGGGTAGGAGTATGGGTAGTAGTAGTGGTAGGGGTAGGGGTAGGGGTAGTGGTAGGAGTAGTGGTAGGGGTAGTGGTAGGGGTAGTGGTAGGGGTAGGGGTAGTGGTAGGGGTAGTGGTGGAGGCAAAAGTAGACCAGTGGCCCGGGCTGATCCCATCGGACGAGAGGTGACCTATGTGACCTGGCCTGACCCAAAGTGACCGGGACTGACCCCTTTGACCCGTATTGACCCCGTATCACCCAAATTGCATCCAACAACGCCCTCAGAACAGTTATTTTTTACATGCTCTTCACATTTCCGTCCATATCTACGCTTCTAGACAACGCATCGACATGAATCAAACACCATTCGAAAGCAAACTGACTGGTGCCGCAATTTTCTCCTACCACGCAGCAAAGCAAGTGGCGCAGCCGCTTGTCTAACTTACTATTCAAACAGAATCCGTCTGTCTGTGAGTCTGTGTGTCCGCACATCGTGTAGTGGGTTCAATTTGTTACGCCTACAGGGCAGACGGTATGCCGTAAGAGGTTGAAATTTGCACACCTTATAGGTGACAGAGCGGGTCAGCGCCTTTTCTAGGTTCCGACTCGCTGGGGTGCACGGTTCGGGCGTGGGGCGCGCTGGAAGAACGCCAATGAAATTTTGATCGGTTCGTAGATCTTCATTGAGAGCCGGGGTCGACAAACTTTGTGAGCTAAATGCATGCCGATCGGTGACGGGTGCCTCGCATTGGCGGATGGGCAAGTTTTAATTTGAATAAATGGTGGCGAGAGAATGTGTTGATTTTCATTCAATGGGAACAATTTGTGATACGATTATACAAATGCACCGCGTTTGCCGCTATGCGCCACATATGTCCGAAGGCTTCATTTACGTCGCAAATTGCACAACTTTGTCAAATATGGTCCGATATGGGTGCAATTTGGTGCAAAGATACATGCTCATTCACCGGGTGAAAATGCACCGCGTTTGCCGTGACACGCCACATTTGTCACAAAGCGCCATTTCCGACAAAATCGATTAAGGGTAATGGAATGGCACGAATAGGAGCGGGGCTAGAAGATGTTTTAAATTCTGATTTTTTAAAAACATTTATTGGATCCAATTAGTATGTGACCTGACATGACCCAGTGGAAGGTAGTGGGAGTGGTAGGGGTAGTGGTAGTGGTAGGAGGTAGGGGTAGTGCTAGGGGTAGGGGTAGGGGTAGGGGTAGTGGTAGGAGTAGTAGTAGGGGTAGGGGTAGGGGTAGTGGTAGGAGTAGTAGTAGGGGTAGTGGTAGGGGTAGTAGTAGTGGTAGGGGTAGTAGTAGGGGTAGTAGTAGGGGTAGTAGTAGGGGTAGTAGTAGGGGTAGTGGTAGGGGTAGTGGTAGGGGTAGGAGTATGGGTAGAAGTAGTGGTAGGGGTAGGGGTAGTGGTAGTGGTAGTGGTAGAGGTAGTGGTAGTGGTAGTGGTAGTGGTAGGGGTAGTGGTAGGGGTAGGGGTAGTGGTGGAGGCAAAAGCAGAACAGTGGCCCGGGCTGATCCCAGCGGACGAGAGGTGACCTATGTGACTTGGCCTGACCCAAAGTACCGGGGCTGACCCCTTTGACCCGTCTTGACCCCGTATCACCCAAATTTCATCCAAAAACGCCCTCAGAACAGTTCTTTTTTAAATTCTCTTCACATTTCCGTCCATATCTATGCTTCTAGACGACACATCGACATGAATCAAACACCATTCGAAAGCAAATTGGCTGGTGCCGCAATTTTTTCCTATCACGCAGCAAAGCAAGTGGCGCAGCCGCTTGTCTATATTACTATTTGAGGAGGGCGTAGTTTCTGTCTATTACGAAGGTCGCGACATGGTGCTACGTAGCGCGGGTTACAGATCACACCGTTGCACCTACCGCGCTGAAATTTGCGCAAGTTATAGAACAAGGATGGACAACGTGCCTTTGAGCGGTCTCGGCTCGATCGGATCGATAGCGAGCGCGTGGCGCGTGCCCAAAAAGTGCAAATTCGCGTCATAGACTTTACATGTATAAATCGGCTGGCAAAAACGGGCGAAAATGGCTAAATTTGCCCGACACGGGTCCGTTCCCCGTGCAATATCTCGGTAGCCGTGCGCCCGATCGGCACGGGGAAAACAGCATCGTGTAGAGAATCGAACGGGCAATCGAATAGTGTGCGGTGCAGGGGTGGCACGCGCCACGTGCAAGTGTGAGGGCAATTTCATTTCAAAAAGTGCCATTTCAAACGGATTTTGGATTTTATTTTATTTTCCCTTGACCATCAGACTGAGAGAGTTGAAACAAAGTCAATTGCCAAGAGAAATGTACCGCCTCTCATGGAAAAATTGTGGACAGCTAATTGATCAAAAACAATGTGGAAAAATCGCTGAATTAAAATGGTATTTGTCCATAATGTGCCACTAAAAAGATACACGGGATTTGCTGCTTAACCTGATACGCTTGACAATTGAAAATGCTATCATTAGAAAGAGCATTCAATTCTCTCCAAGATCCAATCATCACGTTTGCATGACAAGCAACAGTATTCTTAAAAATATAAATGTTTTAAACCTCTGCAAAACGATTTTTAGCGAAAATTATCTACGCCTTTCATTTGTCTTAAAACTACGCACCTCAATTATAAAGCACATTTGACAGATTTTGAAGTAAAAAGCATGCTTATCAGACACGGGCACCTCGATGCGATGGATATTCTTTCCAAACTAAATCATTTAGCCATCAAAAAGCAATCGACCGAAATGGATAGATAACCAAACCGACACAAGAACAACCAAACATCCGTCAATCGAAAATACCCCTTTTCGCGTTGCGGAGCACGCGGGTCACCCTAGTTAGTAGCCATTTTAACGTTGAGTTATCAGGCGAAGGCACATAACTTGACCGAATCTAACTATTTACAGCGAGTGTCTTCATGACCTGACTTTATTTTAACGTTTTATTTAATCGAGTATGATTTCTGATAATATGACAAATAGGGAATAGCTATTACTTATTAGCAACTTAGTTATTGGCAACTAAGCTGAAAACTACTGAGGGTTAGCTAAGAATCTAATTTGACGAAGTCGTACAAAAAGTGACCAAATATGTGCCCGATGACCGTCATGAAGACGGCGTATTTATTTGCAGCACACACGAGCTAAAGCCAAAATAACTGAAGCTGTAATTACTGAATAAATGCATCAGTTGACGTTCAAAGAGTCTGTTTGAAGTCATGTACTCTAAATAAAATGATTATTTTTCCTTTTAATAACCATTGTGAATATGTTCATTGCTCATCAACGTGCAACATTTCATCGGTGACAATTCGTCCTCAAAGCGTGTCAGATCCATGCACAATGGCCATTTTGGCCGCTTTCGTTACTGGTTAGCATTTATCCATATCATCTCCTAAACACTTTGAATAGTGCTAAAGTAGCATGCTTCAATCTAATGCAAACCCTTCCAAGCATTGATATTTTCACTGCATGCTTCTCACTGAAAAGAACACTCCGGAGCTACATAGCTGCCGCAGTTGCTGGTACGAAGCTGTCAGCTGCTGCTCTCCACTGGAGCTGCAATTCGAAGACGATCCATTATGATAAGTAGCATTAGTAGCATGCAAAGGCCATCGATGACTCACAAGAGATATACTTCCCGCCACATTCAAGGTCTGGATTGACTAAAATCTTTAAATACTGAGGCAGTGAAAAGTCAATCGAAATGATATTTTCATTCTTTTGTCAGATACTGGAAATAAAGCCTGTCTCGTAGCTTAGTTGGTAGAGCATTGGACTCCCGGTAGTGAGAGCCCGGGTTCGAGACGCTCCGGCGCTCGATATTTGAGACTCCTGACGGGGATGGTCTGCGGTTGGTGGGAGCAGAGCAGCCGCAGCCGGTAGAAGTCAGTTGAGTGGGACAGGCCGTGTCCGGCTTTGAAGGGCAGTTTAACTTTGGCATCTAAATTCTCCCGTTACCCAGAATTGCGCCATCGGACGGTAGGGGTCGGGGTCTATGCAACAAGCTCTGCTTAGCGTGGGCTCCGCCTCTGTCAATCCGTCCATTCAAACATTCGAGCTAAATTTATAAGGAAAAAAGATACATCTGCCGTAGCTGATCGATGTCAAAATAAATAAATTGTCGAGTTTGCCAAAAAAGAAGTGATTTTTATGTTTTAAGTTACGAAGAAAGAAGTCTAGAAGTTATGCGCATCGTAAGAAATAGAAGAATTACAGGCTGAAAGGCAAATTATAAAAGACGAAAATGGTACAACCTACAAATATTTGTCCTGTATGGTCTAATGGGCAAATGTTGGCATGCATTTACCTACAGTGCCATCAACAGTTATTAGTTATTCATACAGTTTTTATTGACCATTCAATACCATTAATTTGTGTGTGATTATCCAACTATGCCGGCCATGTAATAGTTATTTGAGTTTGTTGCAAATATAATTATTTCATTTGATTGTTTTGAATGACCTCCTTACAAATTTCATCCAAAACAAACAATGTATGGATGTAAAAAGTTTCATTTTGTTAGCAGGTCATTCAAAACAATCAAATAACTGAAACGCCTTACAGTCAACAAGCAGTCACCGATATACCTTATCTCGTTATAAGGGACTCAGTAATACTCGTCTTCGGACCTCACCTGTCAGACAGATCCAGCAGACGAGTCGCTCCATGGCAGCGATCACAGAGTGCACCGTTCGACGCGAATGGCACGAGAGCACTGACGCGCTGACCTCTTCACACTGGAGGTCACTGATGACCGACGTTCACTTTAGCGGCGTGACCCTGACGGCTGGCTTACCGAGTCGACCGGGCGGGCGGCGGTGACGGGTAACCGTGCAGTGAGGCACCGGGGAGGCGCCGAGATAGAATCGCCGCAGGGCAGGAGGGACGATGTCCTCATGGGGTTGCAGGCTGTCATGTCCGTTGAGTGTGCAGAGTGGAGCGCAACTGGTTCGCAAGTCTACTTCGGTGGGGTGTCACAATGTTATTGACAGTGTCGGTGACATGTAGGGGAAGTTGGGGCAATGCCGGAGTTGGGGCAAAGCCGAAATTCGAGATATTTCTAAAACCGTACGACATGGATGCCACGTCTCAGTGATGCTCTGAAGCTTAAGTGACTACAATTATCGCATGTTTGTTACGAGCCGTCATTTGGAATACTTCGGCTGTGAGGGCGCCAAAAGCGTTTTCAAGGTACGTTTCCCTTGTACTACGTGCGCCTTTGAAGCTGCATTTCTTACTCATTATGCTACCGTTTGTCTGGCCAATTCGGTCAAGTAATCTTCAGCATGTCCTTGCATAAGTGTGCTGCCTATTTGAAATTCATACAGCACTTTTAAAAGTTATGGGCCTGCAAATGAAAGTATGGCTGGCTGGGGTAATGCCGAAAACGTGCAATTACGCACGTTAAAGCACGCTACGTGGACTTTACTGCTGAAGAATAGCAACGCGTATTTTTAGTCAAACAAATTACACTTTCAGCCGGCACAACGGCCTGCTACCTATAAGGTATGATTTACCTGGCATTTTCTTATTATATCACACAATTATAACTTCCAGTGTGCACCAAACGTCCTCAAGCTCTTAAAACGCGTGTCAGCTTTGATGAATTTTGGATAAAGTTTGAGATAAATTGGCAAAACATCAATGTCGGCATTCCTCGTAGATCATTTATTCCATTTTCGGCTTTCCCCGCAGTCCGGGGCAACGCCGAAAAAGTAAGTTCTTTGATATTTTTAGTTTTTGCGCTTAACGGTATGCGAATTCATCAAATGCGCCTGGTATGTTTGAAAGACAAAAGACTGGCCTCTCGAATGACGCCAACAAGAATAGCTTATGTTGTCTACCTTGCGTGCTACGGGCGTCAGAAAAAAAGTATTCGGCGTTCCCCCAACTTCCCCTATGTCATTGAGCGGTGTCTTCAATGTGGGGATTTTCGAGTTGTGAAATCAGCTGCAGTGGTGCTGAGCCGGTGCGGGTGAATTGCTATCTGTGTTGAGGGCGTGTTTCCATTGTCCATGACTCGAGCGACAATGAGTTGTTTATAAATGACAGGTGGTACTGAATATTTAGAGGATGTGACCTAAAAAGCCTAAGACGGTGGATCTGGTTGCAGAGCATTCACCGGTGAAAGTATTATGGTAATAGGCGCTTGGATCTCATGCTGTCCTATCTATACAAAGTGTATTGGAGCAATTTGCTTTTATCATTGGCATATCACATACACGTAAACAGTCCACATTGTCATTGGTAGAAGGATTTGAAATATTCACCGAACCGACGTCGCTCTCAGATGAGACGATGAATTCACAAACATTGTCGATAATCATCTGTATTATCATTACCAAAGCACAATGATGTATGACAGTTCGTCCAACAAAGGATGTCAATTGCATATCAAACACACAAGGAAGGCTCTTATATGCGTTGCAAATCGCGATTGTACTGCAATCCTCACACAGAATATTATACATCTGACTGAGACTCGTTGCAATTCGAATATCGCTCACTCTTATTGTGCGTTGCATTGGCTACTCTCGTCTCTAAGCAGAACATACCTATTCCAAAAATAAGAAAAATAACCATTCATCCATCTAAGTTTACTCTGATGTTCAAGTGTTTATTATTATACGTTCATTTTGAGATTATGCGATTATAGGAAGTGCAGTGCAGATCAGTCATATTGCTGCACCAATACAATTATATCTATCCCTCAATCCTGCAATGGAAATCCAGTTGTGCGACCTCTAGCCCTAATCCTTACTCGTGCAACAGCAGATGCCTCCTTTCTGTCCCACTCTCCCTCTTGTTCTTATCTGTCACAGTATTCTGCCTGTTCTGCACATACGTACCGTATCTAACGCTCTCTGTTCTCCCACGCTTCCTAGCTCCACAATAATCCCAGCCTCACGCGCTAGGGAAGTGCACCTCTGGATTTCGTTTTTGCGCGATACCTCTCGTAAAGGTGGCTGCATCTGTTTATAATTCTGCTGCAACGGCGGCCGGCTGGCATATTTATGGCTGTGCCTCACATGGCCCGGCATCCAACGGCCTACCGTTGGCACCCGTTCCAGTTCCATAAACAGTGCACGCCCGCCAGGCCCGCGCGGCGCCGCCGGGACCGCAGGCTGCGGCGGTGCAAACCGCCACGAGCGGAGGGCACATCAGCGCAGGGTGTCTGGCTCACTCGCCAGTGGCCAGAGGCGCACTCAGCCCCCCGGTCTGGCCAGCTTCCGCCCTCTGCCCTCCGCAGGAACGAGATGATGAGAAAACGGAGCTGCACCGTAAGCCCGCGCGTCGACTCTGCAGCTGCTGCGCTCACGCACTCTGCACCTGCGCAGATCTGTGCAAAGCGCTCACTCCGACGATCCGATGGTCGGATTTAGCTGTCGGCTCCCCCCTGCGCCCCTCCCCCTCTCCTGCCGACGCGCCTGCGGCCGACGCCCCGAGCAGCCGCCCGCCGCCCGTGGGGGCGCCGCCGGCAGCGCGCGCCAGTCGAGCGTCGGCATCGTCGCCGGACGGGGAGGGTGGAGGGACCGGCAAAGTCGGCCGACGCCGCTCACTCAGGTGGGTGTGGCCCTCCGGCGCTGCCGACGGTGCAGGTGCCGCGTGCGGGCCGAGCGCGACGTCTAGCGTCCCCGGACTTCCCCGTCGCGTTGGGCGTCTTTGTCCGCTAATTTTGGCGCCGGCTGTGGTGGTCCCGTCGCGAACAACGCACAGCCCGCGTGGCCACCACCGACGGCGACAAATGTTTGCGCTGGAGCGACGTGAGTGGCGCGGTGTCGCGTGCCAGTGCCGGCGCCGCGCGGCGCTACGCCGGACCCATCTGTCAGAGTTGTCGGTCGCGACTGTCCGGCCCGCCGCGTCTGTCTCGTCGGCGGCGACTGACTGCGACGTTCGCTCCGCCGGCGTCGGGTGCGTCGGTGATCTCTGACGATCCCGCTGTGTTTCAGCTCCCGGCTGATGTGACGACGACTCAACGACGACCTGACGACCCCGACCGCCTCCGACCGACCATGAGCGCCCCCGGCAGTGACCCCAGTGACCCGAGCGGATCGGCGGCCGCCCGGCCCGACCGCAGGTCACTCAAGGCCCGCACCTCCGACCTCAGCTCCGCAGAGGCAGCCGCCCTCGAGCGAGAGCGATGGATGAGACGTATCCAAAAAGTGAAGGAGAGGTGAGTCCGAGTGTTTTTATCCGTCCGATCCACAGCCAGCTTGTACGGCCCATGAATATTATCTGTTCTTATCCCACAGCCGCATCTTCATCGATGATTGGCTCACTTTCCGTTTGATTTTCGAGGCGAACACTTTCACAATGACTTTTTCAAGAGGCAGCCTTATCGCCTCAACATTCAACAGGACCCCCATAAAAACACACTCATTTTGATTATATTTTCCGGACGTCGCGTGACAGTAAACCAAACTGTGACGGTGGATCGTGCTACCGTGACAGCGAGCAATGACCGTGATCACGACTGTTCCTTCAGGAACGAGGCGGAGCACCAGCGGACACTGCGGGACCAGCGAGAGCAGCTCATTCGACTCCACGATGTGCAGCTGCGGCGCATGCGCCGTGACCACGAGGATGACCTGCGCCGGGTCAGGATGGAAGCCAGGTGGGTCACCGCCCCAGGCGGCGTGGGCGGCGGAAGCGTCTTTGGCGGCGTCCTGTGATGTTTTATTCGTGTATAAACGGTGCCTGACATGGCGGGCAGGTGCACGCGGGACTCGGGGAGGGGAGGGAGGTAATTTGTCCTTCCGGTCTGCCGACTGATCCTGGCTGAGAGTAATGGTGGACGGAGTCTGCCAGAGCTTAGACCAATTCGTCTTTGAGGTTGGCATGGTTAATACGGGCACTGAAATGACTGACGAATAGTTGGGTAAATGTGATTAAATATATCGATGGTTTTTTCAAAGTGGAGAGAGTCTTCGTCTCTGTTCCACGTCCCAAATTTCAAGGTCTGTCTATCTGGCTGGTTTGGCTTCTTGTTTACTTTTTCGACCTGCTACGTAGTAGTACGGTTTGTTTGGTCTTGGCCCGGTAACTGTTTGGTTTTGTAGCTCTGTATTCAGGTCAGTCGTCCAAGGAATCGATGCATCGGTGTTTGGACGAGTTTTGGATGCAAATTAAAGTAGCGTCACTTTTGCTATACTTTATGGACAGTTCAGCACTCTTTTCATTGTAAAATACTCTTCTCACGTAAGACCCCGACTTTGTAATTTGCCTGGGTCTGGCACGCCGCTAAATTAAGATCTAGCCACGTTTATAACTTTTCAGGAAACGAAAATAAATCATTGAGATGACCGCGCCCGTCTTCAGGTGTTTATTTTGATTGGCTCCCAAATCTTCCGACATCTGGAGCTTTGATTCGGACTTCCGGGTTCTCATCTCTGTGTACCAAACTTGTCACGATTCACGTCAGCAGAGAGCATTAATAGCAGTATTTCTTTCCTTATGGTGAACAGAGCCTTCTTTAGGCCGCCATGTAAACTGCAACACAAAGGCGCCCGTCTTGGCGCCGCTCCAAGCCCCGGGAAGCGGCTATATCTGAACCAGGTGCCAACTCCGCGGGGAACAACTTTGCTGCCCTGCAGGGCCGCAGCTTTCCCAAACCAAATGAAACGCACTGCAACCAATGACTATCACGACCTTTCCTAACATAAAAATCGCAGCTTGTCACCTGTCAGTACACCTGTCAACTATCAAAGCACCACTGTCACCTCCCATACAACCAGCACAGTCAGGACCATTGACATCTGGGTCTGTGTCGGCGCTAAGTTGCCAAACGTACATCTGTCACATGGATGTCACGCGGCTGTCAGCCGAGGTGAAGGGCCAGGAGTCAACGCCCTTCGCTGATGAGACCGGTCACAGGGGGATGGACGAAGGCGCTCACGAATATACCTGAGAGAGTCTTGAGAGCCGGGCGCTCGGGAAACTGGCCGATGCAGATCACTGCGGGAACGAAGCACGGAGATGGAAGACACAACCCCTCGGATAGGAGAACGTATGTGCTAAGGGAAGCTGAGAGGGACGTTAAGGGGAGGGTTGGAGAATGCATGAGCACCACTGGAATACCGTACAAAAGGTGAGAAGGGCCTGGTTAGAAGGACCTGGTTAGAATAGGAAAGGACATCATGGTTCCTTAGGTCGAGAGCTCCCCAGGTCGTAAGGGATAAGTGCGCCTATGGGACGGACGGACAAATGCGTCCTGGGAGCGAATATGAGGGAGGTGCTCCGAGACCGAATATGAGGGAGCCCTGGGACGGAATATGAGGGCGCCCAGAGACGGAATATGAGGGCGCCCTAGGACGGAATATGAGGGGCGCGCTCCGAGACGGAATATGGGGGCGCCCTGGGACGGGATATGAGGGCGCCCAGAATCTGATGGACGAGGGTGCGCACTGCGTGCCGTCGGATGCCAGAGCGCGTGTTTTGATTGGATGATTGCCGAGAAAATAGCTGCTGGAGGACGGCTGCGGACGGCTGGGTGAGGACAAGGACGGATTGTAGCGCCAGAGGGTGCTAATGGAAACAAACGGAACGGGGAATAACATGCTAAATGTGGCAGAACCGCCCAGAAATTATTCGATTAATACAAACATCTTGATTCATTGCAAGCCACAGATGAGAAAGACGAATCAAGATAGCTAGCAAGCTTGATCCAATTACATCAAAATGAATAAGCACGAGACAAAAAGAAGCAGACGTTAGAGCTGATGAAAAGAGCACTAGTGAGCAGCGGCAACGCAGGTGCTTCCAACAACAGTTTGTTGCAATCCGCTCTGTTTAATGCAGCGGACTAGGCACTGGGCGGTCAGAACCCTGGTCAAGCTCCAACCATGCAGTGGCACGCTCATAATATCAGAGTCCGTGTCACGGCTAGGATTGACAGCGGCGCTGAGTGCTGAGTCTGGAATGTTTCTGAGATGACCCCACACCGTATGACTCATTATGTGACTCATAATTTTCCCCTATGTCGTGGGGAGCCAGGACTGACAAAGTGACAAGTGACTCGCAACAGGTTACAACAGTTGACAAGCATATAGACAGCATAATCAAGTTATCTGGGGAGGCTTGCACCATTCAGATGTTGAAAAAACTGTTTGCTTTTTTAGACTGCCAAAAGTAAAATGATACTTATTTGAGTGGCCTTTTTCACGGGCCCACGGGGCTTTTTCGTGCATATCCGAGCAAGAAATTCGTAACATTTTCTGAACCCAAACGTAGCTGTCCAGTCTGAGTGAGTGTCCACTTGCATTAGGTAGCGGCTTCACTACAAGCACTGAACTAATAAACAGACTAATTTGAGTTTGAATTTGGGCGCCAAGTGCTGGTGGCGGTTGTGAGATAAATAAAGTGTGGTCTGGTCTGTTGGCGTGTAGCGAGGAACCGATGGGAAGAGTGCCAGAGCCAAGCACATTCAATAACTGAAAAACTTAATCCTAGCATTGCTTGCCTCGCCGCGCGTTATAGTTAGTAAATCCGTTTCAAACGCAAGTTTATACGGTTTCAACGTGATAGCTCATGACCCGCATGGACGCGCCAACGTCAGTTGCCATGCATTTGAACAGCGCACGCCCCTCGGCTCTATAACATGACCCAGCACACCATACGAGATCATGTTCTGATTCCACTGCCCAGTCTCGGGTGTCAGATTCAAACTGACTCAGACGGGCTCGAAATTCGAGCCGTCACTAGAGCTAGCTAGCCCTTCTAATTAGCCACGTGTCGTATCGCCATCTCTCACAAGGTCAAGTGTCCCGATGCGTGTGAACAATTCGCGGCGTGATGTGTCTGCAAGCACAGAGAAATGATGAGCTGAGCGGAACAGCCAAACACATCCTCCCCAGGACACATTCAAGCTGCGCGCAGCTCCGTTCGCCGCTCCAGCCGTTAGCCTGGTTGCAGATGCTATTTCAAACGGTCGCTCTCACAGGATCGTCACCTTGTGCAGAGCAGTGGACCGTATAGAGACGGGGAGGGTCAGAGGGCAGAGGGCGAGGCGAGATGACAAGGAAGAGGGGTGCGGGGAGAGGTGGATTACGATCTGCAGCTCGCGCGTCAGTTGATTGTTTATGTAGCGCGCCGAAGGCGGAGCAGTTGACGGATGGATTGCACGGACTGCACAGTGAGAAGGGGAAGGAGGGATAAAGGGAGAGAGGGAGACGAGACGAGAGAGAAGCGACAGAAGAGTGGCCTGATGACGATAGCAGCGGTGATGATGGTAGTGGTGAGGACATGCTGATGATGGCACAATGATAGCGGCAGGCCTGTGACGCCATTGTTGTTGATGTGCGTTGTTTATGCCTTGCTTGATGGCGGAGCCATAGAACGATGCATTTATTTTGCCGCACAATGCACATCCGCACTGACACCACTAAAATGGGCGGCGGTCATCACAAAAGATAATAGAGCAAGTCATTTTTTCGTGCTCTTCCATTGGTCTCAAACATACCTATGAAACCAGCATTGAATGCGTATGCAGATGCACCATGCTTTATCTAAAATGAATGTAATACCTTTTTGTTTGCTTGCCCAGCAAGCTAGCTTAGCGCACGGCACATACGAGTTCTGCTTCTAGCCACACATGGTTGTAGTTCCATAGGCCTAGTCTACCATGCATGTCGGGGGTTTACCTTTCCCAATAAGCGGTCCTTACCTCAGCAATAAATGAGATAAACGCCCGTCTTCATGAGAGAGGCTTGGCACGATGATGGCATATTGTGTCGTGGCTCTCCCTTATCAATAATCAATTTCATCTCATGGACCAAGTCATTACCTTAACAACCACGACTTGCCGGCATGCACCAGCGTACTATGTTCAGAAAGAATGCAGTTCAAATGCTCGTATATCGGGGGTGATCTGGCGTGACGTATGGCTATATGGGTGTTTGTTCAGCACATTGGACCAAGGCTACTCATGAATTTAATCCGAACATCAAATAAGCATCACAAGAAACAATAATAATTATTGGATGCAACTAGTTATGTAAATTAAACCAGATGCACAGCACTCTTCAAGTCTTCACCTGTCTAGCAAGAGAAAACAGAGCTCGACGGGTGTGATTCAATGTCGTACAGATCTAATTATTTCCATATTTATACCATGGCATCATCAGTGCCATTTCGACATTGCGGCCACACGATTCAAGGATTCAAATATTCACCCCTCTTGTACCACTCCCTATTCTAGCTAACCTCAGCACCCCTGTGTACTCCTGTTTGATTTGGTGGCCCTGACTCACGGGGCTCCTTGCGAGTCACTTGCTTGTAACTGCCATAAATGTTTACCGCTCGAGCACTGGATAGTTTCGAAACTGGTGCTCTGACCGTCGCGTTCCTTTTACTCATTGGCATACGATGTGACCGTGCCCTGGTACAGATGGAGCAAATCAATGTCATGATAAAGGACTATTGCACCGCTGCTTTAATCAATTCGCATCAATGATACATTAGCCGAGTTGTTTGGTTCTTACATATTGCTAAACAAACGCTTTGCGTTGCTTTTGTCGGTTATCGGGCTTCGAATCTCATGTCGCAAGTTTTGCTGTAACAGGTACTCAGTCTTTTATTCCTATGTAAGTTTTGACGTCAGTTGCAACTCGCCCAGATATTATTCAGTGCGTGCTACCAAACAGCCTCATTACCTTATCACCTCACTGACGAGCTGCTGCTGACCTGGCAGGTCCAGCGTGGACCAGCTGCGCGCGCAGCTGGCGGACCTGCAGCGGCTGACCTGCCATCGCAGTGGAGAGCTCGCCCAGCCGACCTCCGAGCTGGTGCAGCTCCGGAGCGATAAACAACGGCTGGAGCGGCAGCTGCAGGTCGGAGAGGGAGAGGAAGAGGGAGAGGGAGAGGGAGAGGGAGAGGGAGAGGGAGAGGGAGAGGGAGAGGGAGAGGGAGGGGGAGGGGGAGAGGGAGAGGGAGGGGGAGGGAGAGGGGGAGGGAGAGGGGGAGGGGGAGGGAGAGGGGGAGGGAGAGGGAGAGGGAGAGGGAGAGGGAGAGGGAGGGGGAGGGAAGGGGGAGAGGGAGAGGGAGGGAGGGGAGAGTGATAGGGAGAGGGAGAGGGAGGGGGCCGAGAGGGCCGAGTGGGAGAGGGAAGGTAGGGGAGGGGGAGAGGGGAGGGGAGAGGAGAGGAGAGGAGAGGAGAGGAGAGGAGAGGAGAGGAGAGGAGAGGAGAGGAGAGGAGAGGAGAGGAGAGGAGAGGATAGGAGAGGAGAGGAGAGGAGGGGAGGGGAGGGGATGTGAGGGGAGGGGAGGGGAGGGGATGTGAGGGGAGAGGGAGAGGGAAAGGGAGAGGGAGAGGGAGAGGGAGAGGGAGAGGGAGAGGGCCGAGTAGGGAGGGAGAGGGAGAGGGAGTGGATGGGGAGGGGAGGGGAGGGAAGGGAAGGGGAGGGGAGGGGAGGGGAGGGGAGGGAGGGGAGGGGGAGGGAGGGAGAAGGACATTTCTGGCTGCAGCATTAAGTGAGAAAGCAGACGGATTATTGACCATTCCATGTATCTACCAAAATGCTGGGCGATTTTGTATCAATGGACGTTACGTATGTACTTTCATACCTATGACGTAGTAAGAAAGACCACGACTTATGTTTACCTATCCCAATATTGTACATTCAATGCTCAACGTACAATGCACCAACGACTCTATGAGTCATGAACATTCGTCCGCTAATTTGCACCAGCCCTGCACGGGTTATCTGAAGTCATCTCGTTGGAGCACGGGCACCCGATCCCGTCGGCCCTGAACCATCCTTGCACCTTGCTGAGCAGGGGAACCCTCGGTGGACCATAATGTGTTCCTCGTAACTGACTTTGATCTAATCGGTCAGTCGTGTAGGGGTGATCAGACAGGCTCGCAGCGTTGCTGATCTGGTTCGCTCTCCAAAGAAATCAGACATGTATATAGTTAGGTATCGTGTATTATGTGCGCTATCAGAAAAAAAGCTGCAGCCGGCGCTGATTGTTGATGCAATGTATGTTGCTACTCACCATTTGCACTGCTCCATATTCATTTGAGAATTTAAGACTTTTATTAATTAATTTAAAGATAATGTTAAGGTTGTCATTTTTTTACGCAACCTTCTCACGTTCGATTGTTACAATAAATAATTTATCTTAACTTGACTGTCCATCGATGATGGCCAAAGAATACAAAACGCAAATAGTTACATAGCATGGGAATGGTTTAATTCTTGCTCTGCTACTCCCTGTCTGTGGTGATTTCTTTTTAACAGAGTTTAGAAGTTGAACTTGAACGTTCATTGTGACAATTATGACTAGATAAGTGAAACTTTTTTAAATATAAAGGTACTGTATTATAGAAAGCCTTCGCAAACGCGTTTCGATTATATCATCTTCAGTGCTAGCTTCCCATAATACAAAAAGAAAATGGTACAAAAGTTCACAACATATCGCAAATACACACGCTGCAATTTTTTCTCACAATATCACGGGTAGAATGTTTTTATATACTTCTGGAATGCAAGACCGCAAATCGCCCCTCCTAAGGTGTAAAAGCCCCCCTTATGGTTCGTACATGGCACACTTTGAATTAATGCCGACTCAAGAATTTTTCTGTGCGATCTCTTCAGACCTGATTTCACCGCACTGGCTTTATCCCACTTAGGTAGGTGACCCTCTGTTTCGGCATGTAACGTAATTGAGTTAGACAAATTATGATTTATCAAATCACGCTTGTGTTCAGTTACTCTGGTTTTAAGCCCTCTGTAAGTTTCACCGATATATACTTTTGGGCAGCCCCCACAAGGAATTTGGTAGACTACGCTGTTCGCCCTTCGCTGTCCTTCAGTTCCTCCCTTAATCATGTCACCTATTTTTGTTCCAGATTTTTCTATCAGCCTAACACCTGCTTGATTTAACCCTTTTGCTAAGGATTGCACTTGTTCAGAGTGTGGCACAACAATGACTCGTTTGCTTTTCTGTTGTCTTTCTTCATTTTGGTTCCTTGTATTTGCTTGTTCTTTCTTCTTTCTTATGCGTTTGGCACTGTTCTTGCATCTAATGAGAAAAGCTCTTGGGTATTTGAGCCGTTCAAATACCTCGAAAATGTGTTTGATCTCATCTGCGATGTACTCTTCGCTGCAAATACGGTATGCGCGCAGGAAAAAGCCAATGACGACCCCTGACTTTGTTCTCATGCTATGTGCAGAATAAAAATGAATATAATCCTCCTTACTTGTTGGCTTTCTATAGACCGCAAACTTTACACTAACATCTTCCCTGATAATCTTAACGTCTAAGAAGTTAAGTGTTTGGTCTCTTTCTTCTTCTAGTGTAAATTGAATGCTCCCATGTACTTGATTCAGCTCTTGTACCTTCACGTTTAGATCCATTTCCTCTGGCGCAATGACCAAAATGTCATCCACATAACGATACCATTTTGTATCATTTCCCATCACCTTGCTGAATTCCTCCTCCTCTAACATTTCCATAAATAGGCACGCAGCAACCATGCGCTGAGAGGTGAGCCCATGGCAAGCCCCTCGTTTTGTGCATATTCTTCTTTGTTGAAGATGAACGGATGAAAGTTGAGGCAGAGCTTTACTAAAGACAGATAATCCTCTTTTGGTAATGGTAATGAATCTTCAGTTAGGCCGTTGCGCTTTTTCAATCGCCTTTATAGCGCCGTCGATAGGGACGTTTGTAAATAGCGCCTTGACGTCAAAGCTCGCTAGTTTTTTCCCGTTAAATTGCGTTTGTTTTAACCGCTCAATGAGGTCCCCTGAATTCCTTAAGTGAGCGTCACTTAAGCTTCCCAGAGTCATTGTCAACGGTTTGGCTAGTATCTTAGCTAACCTATGGGGCGCACTTGCAATGCCTGACGTAATAGGGCGCATCGGTATGCCCTGTTTGTGAATCTTTGGGAGCCCTCTCATTTTAGGTGGCAAAGGATCTTGTTCCAATGTGTAAAGTAGTTGTTTCTTGGTTTAAAGTTCATATGGTTTAAAGTTCGACTCGGGCAAAGACCAAGTATCATTAGTTGAACACGTTGCTAAAAATTACAAAAATAACGATACTAATGTTGACAAGGGCTTTGTTCAGGGAGTAGTGACATGTTGCAAGATTTTGGCTGACAAAGAGAACAGCAGCCTACCAAGAAGATATCATGAGGCACTAGATTCACTAGCCAAGGACGATTCTATTATCATTACTTCAGCAGACAAAGGTGGGGGTATCATCGTCATGGACAAGAATGATTACTTAGAGAAAATGAATGAACTTTTGAAGGATAAGGTATATGAAAAGAAAAAGACAGGTTATGCAAAAGCTGAAGGAGAAAAATTCAATAAAGAGGCTCGAAAAATTCTTAAAAAGTCTGAACAAGGAAAACAACTACTTTACACATTGGAACAAGATCCTTTGCCACCTAAAATGAGAGGGCTCCCAAAGATTCACAAACAGGGCATACCGCAGAGGTCGATAAAATCTCTGACCATCTGACCCTAGTCAGAGAAAAATAAGCGAGCGAAAATCATATAAAGAAGAAAATATCATGGAAGAAATTCTAAGATTAGCAAAGCCAGCATTGTTACATCCATACACCTATGTCATCGACTAACAACAGCACGAGTAACAATTTAGTGATGACAGTTTTCTACAATTTCTCCACTTTCTCCCTAGTCAGACCTGGTCTGATCCGGTCAGAAGCAGCTCTGTGCCTATAAGGTCGGTTTCCCTACCAATTCATAACCAAATATCGCTCTTATTGGCAGTCGGAGAAAGTGGTGTTTTTGTCGACCGCTTTGTTTTCTTCAGCTGCCAAACGCTTGAGACAAGAGAAAAATAGTTGAGATTTATCAATAATAGTCGCTAATTCTTGCGATGTTTATTGCGAATCTGAAGGAATTTCTTCAAATACAAGGAAAAGTCTCAATAACGGGAAATAGCCACCTTAGCGGCAAAGACGCTAAGGCAGGGGTCGGCAACCTCTTTTTGGATGGGGGCCTTATATGTGATTTGGAAGCAACCGGCGGGCCGGAGCATGGTCACAATTTGTTACAATCACGCGCAGGAGCAACGGACCGGAACACAATGTTAGTTACTGATGCCAGCCGCGGGCCGGATCCGGCCCGCGGGCCGTAGGTTGCCGACCCCTGCTAAGGGCCCGACAGCGACGCGCGGTGAGGGAGGGAGGGAGTGGGTAGGGGGACTAGGAAAAAGGGGAGATGAGACGCGGGGCAGGAGGGCAGGAGGCCGGCGCTGGCTGCGGGGAGGGTAGGGGTTGGGGGGGGGGACTCGCAGGAGCAAAAGACACCCGGGTTTCAGTCGGCAGAGGACTGCGTGCGCGTATTGTATTGTATTGTATTTTACATCATTGGCACTTATCTGTGGCGAACAGTCGGCGATACCTTGGCAACAAGTCGGCGCACGCAGCGATATGTAGCCGCCGACTCGGCGACTGTTTGGTGATTATATTCGTTTATCACAAGTTCGGAGAACGGCCACGAAATTTTCATTTTTCATGAAAAATTTGTGGCGGTCGTGACGAGCCGTAAAAGTCGCGCGGTGGACACCGAATGGTCTGCGAAATGCCAAGACCGGGGAAGAAAGATCCCGAATCGGTCCGCGACATAGGATGACCTGCATAGTCGTGCACATTCGTGTACCAAAATTTGGCAGTGTAACAAGAGCTTATGACTGCCGTATACCAGTGTTTTGGGTTGCGTGGATAGGTATCCAAATTCATCATTTCTCACAATCGCGAAGAAAAGCCTGGAGAAAATTGGCAGGTAGTCGGAGGAACTCCATGAATTTTGTCGACCTCTGGCATACCGATGCGCCCTATTACGTCAGGCATTGCAAGTGCGCCCCATAGGTTAGCTAAGATACTAGCCAAACCGTTGACAATGACTCTGGGAAGCTTAAGTGACGCTCACTTAAGGAATTCAGGGGACCTCATTGAGCGGTTAAAACAAACGCAATTTAACGGGAAAAAACTAGCGAGCTTTGACGTCAAGGCGCTATTTACAAACGTCCCTATCGACGGCGCTATAAAGGCGATTGAAAAAGCGCTGAACGGCCTAACTGAAGATTCATTACCATTACCAAAAGAGGATTATCTGTCTTTAGTAAAGCTCTGCCTCAACTTTCATCCGTTCATCTTCAACAAAGAAGAATATGCACAAAACGAGGGGCTTGCCATGGGCTCACCTCTCAGCGCAGTTGCTGCGTGCCTATTTATGGAAATGTTAGAGGAGGAGGAATTCAGCAAGGTGATGGGAAATGATACAAAATGGTATCGTTATGTGGATGACATTTTGGTCATTGCGCCAGAGGAAATGGATCTAAACGTGAAGCTACAAGAGCTGAATCAAGTACATGGGAGCATTCAATTTACACTAGAAGAAGAAAGAGACCAAACACTTAACTTCTTAGACGTTAAGATTATCAGGGAAGATGTTAGTGTAAAGTTTGCGGTCTATAGAAAGCCAACAAGTAAGGAGGATTATATTCATTTTTATTCTGCACATAGCATGAGAACAAAGTCAGGGGTCGTCATTGGCTTTTTCCTGCGCGCATACCGTATTTGCAGCGAAGAGTACATCGCAGATGAGATCAAACACATTTTCGAGGTATTTGAACGGCTCAAATACCCAAGAGCTTTTCTCATTAGATGCAAGAACAGTGCCAAACGCATAAGAAAGAAGAAAGAACAAGCAAATACAAGGAACCAAAATGAAGAAAGACAACAGAAAAGCAAACGAGTCATTGTTGTGCCACACTCTGAACAAGTGCAATCCTTAGCAAAAGGGTTAAATCAAGCAGGTGTTAGGCTGATAGAAAAATCTGGAACAAAAATAGGTGACATGATTAAGGGAGGAACTGAAGGACAGCGAAGGGCGAACAGCGTAGTCTACCAAATTCCTTGTGGGGGCTGCCCAAAAGTATATATCGGTGAAACTTACAGAGGGCTTAAAACCAGAGTAACTGAACACAAGCGTGATTTGATAAATCATAATTTGTCTAACTCAATTACGTTACATGCCGAAACAGAGGGTCACCTACCTAAGTGGGATAAAGCCAGTGCGGTGAAATCAGGTCTGAAGAGATCGCACAGAAAAATTCTTGAGTCGGCATTAATTCAAAGTGTGCCATGTACGAACCATAAGGGGGGTTTTTACACCTTAGGAGGGGCGATTTGCGGTCTTGCATTCCAGAAGTATATAAAAACATTCTACCCGTGATATTGTGAGAAAAAATTGCAGCGTGTGTATTTGCGATATGTTGTGAACTTTTGTACCATTTTCTTTTTGTATTATGGGAAGCTAGCACTGAAGATGATATAATCGAAACGCGTTTGCGAAGGCTTTCTATAATACAGTACCTTTATATTTAAAAAAGTTTCACTTATCTAGTCATAAGAGTTTAGAAGCTCGGGGCTTGCGGGTGTGTGATGTGCGTCTTCATAATGTCGACATGTTCTCACGTCACGCTGACCTTTTTATATCATGATGGGTGTCCAGTAGTTCAAGGCCAACAGCTAATGCATCCTTGCCCCCTTTTTGTGCGTTGAGATATTCGAACACCGCGTCATTAGTCTCTTTGTCACATTTCAGGCACAGTTAACTGTTGTTATTGAAGTCGTTATCTCTAGCTTCATGGCCTATAAAACAGTTACGATAATGGAAGCTTGAATGACAATGAGCATTTGCGTGACATTACGAACATGTTTCATCGGTTTTGGTTGTTACAAAAACTTTGAAGCTGCTTACAGAAAAAAATATTGGATCTCGTTCGCATGCCTCTTAATATGTCTTGCAGTAACCACAAAGACTGTCATACTCGATGCAGTGGCTTTCTCTCTTGGCGTGTCGCGTCGAGTATTGGGCATCCCGTTGATTTCTTCACCTGGCTGAGCTTCCTGACGACACCAGGATGTGACTGGCCGATGCCAAAGCCGCTGATACTACGTGTACATACGTACCCCTATGTCGCCACCCTCGGCTTCCCTCCCCTTCGCGTGACCACAGCCGGGGAGGCGGGGCCGATCCCGTGGGAGGCTCTGATCCAGGCAGCGTAAAGTGGGAGATTGCGGGGTTACCTCCCTGGCTCAGCGGGGTCAGCACAGGGTCACGGGGTCAAATAGGAAGAGTGCAGAAACGTGACTCATTTGTGCAGGCTCACGCGAAACTCGCGGAGCCCTAGAAACTTAATAGGATTGAGGTCAGACTGGGACATTAAGTTCGTTCTGATTATCCATGGTTGTCATAACGGTGTAAAAAATACTGCGTCCATAAATATTATTTCAGTCGCGCAATAGCAAAAAATGTTCCTACTTTATGAATAACTATATTCAAAGCAGGAGTTGACTGTTTAGCTTTTTTAAGGATTCGTTGGTACATACCTTGAAAATGTCATTAATCATGTGCTTTGCTGATTCTGCACTTCAGAATTGTCATTATTCATCTACGCAAGAAAACAACTTTTCGTCACGTTGGCATAATTTGACGTAGTGAGTGATGGATTGGAAATTACGTAGATGATAAATAGTTCAAAATGTGCATCGACATTTCATACCTTAACCCGCGCGGGGCTGGGGTCTCCAGCCGAACGCGCGGGGCTGGGGGGGGGGGGGTAAATTTTACCCCCCCCCCCCTGTTATCTCCCGAACTAATGGTCCGATTTGGAAAATTCAAACGCCAATCGAAAGATCTCATCACGAACAACTAAAAACATGTACTTAATTTTAAGTTTGAGGTCAAGGTCAAGGTCAGGTCAAGGGTACAAATTGCAAGTTCCTACAGTATCGGCCTTGCACCGTAGTTGCCGAAGAATGGAGTCATGGACTGAGACTGATCGCCCAAAACGTGTTCTTAGGCTACCAAGACAATATTCGTTGCATACAATATCATTCAGAGGTCAAGGTCAAGGTCAGGTCAGGTCAGGTCAGGTCACCAAAAACAAAATATAGAAAAGGGCATGTGCGACACATGTTTTATGGGTCATTTTACTCATAGAATTCAATAGGCACACTCAATAAGTGATATGGACCACCTTTGGATGAATTTCAGGTCGAGGTCAGGTCAAGGTCAGGTCAAGTGAGGTCAAATTTTGAAGTTGGTTGTTAAGGCCTAAAAAGGTGTCTATCTGATGCAGTTTTTCACGGTGAATCGAATGGTGCTACTTTTGTCTCCGTACGAGGTCTAGAACTTCCAAAAAAGTCATTTCTCAAAATTTTTGTGTGTCGTGACGTCATACAATTTTGAATAACTCCCACATTTTTGAACCGATTCTTCTAAAACTTGGTATGTAGGTGCACATAGACCACTTCTCTGACATATATTCCGGTTTTTTCGGTACACTCAAAATTTTGGATTTTATAGCGATTTTCCCAAAAAAGTCAGTTTTTTGAAAAAATTTGGGCCAAAATCCAAAATTTTCAAAAAACCGAGATAGCCATTTGATAGACAAAGTAAAATTACGTATATCCTTTTTTGTTACGTCTTGATTCCTTTAAAAATGAAGATGTTACCGGCGTTTGAACTTTTGCCGTTTTTGAGGCGAAAATGGCGAACATGACGTCACTAAAACGTCAATTTCTCAAAAATTTTCCGACGAATTTCGCTCAAATTTTCAGGGAACGTGTCAAATTGATGTAAGAAAGGGTACTGAAAGTTTGGCGGCGCTGCGCGCCGCCGTTTTTGAGATATTGCAAAAATTCGCGAGGGGGGGTAAAATTTACCCCCCCCCCCAGCCCCGCGCGGGTTAAAGTACTTATTTTGCTGTGTCCTCGCTACTATAAAGCAGAAGTCCCCATTTCTGTCAAGTTTTAACAACGGCCTAGAGGAATGTAAATTCATCAGTAATCGGTCAGCCTTCTGGAACAAAGTAAGACGAATCCCTTCTTTACACATTTTGATTAGTAATTGCACAGTTTTGCCCTTTTCTGTGCTGTTGTTTGAAATGAAATTTTCTCTACACTGTTACTGTAGAAGTAGGCACTATGCGCAATGCGCATTGCGTATCCTGCCGTTCCTTGATTTTGTTACTTGGGTGTACTTAAATTCTCATTGTTTTGTTTACAGGCGGTTGTTGAGAGCGGTCGCAGAGACGGCGACTTTGATCGCAAGACAGACGACAACTACGAAAACGAACCACGAAAAAACGAAAAACACAATAAAAATAATACAGCCGAAACGGTAAGTGGCCGGACCAGGGCCGGATTGAAAATCCAGTCTTACAGCTTTCACTGCAGATTAGTTCATTTTGTTGACACTTCCATCCGATCCCACTTCCCAGTGAAAGTCAATAAATGCACTAAGCTGCCAACCCGAGTAGAATTTCAATTGATCAACAAGCCGGTTTTTAGGCACAATCTCCGCCAGGATTAATTGCCTGGAAATATGGTGACAAACTCGTTTAATGACTCAACTCATGCGTTGATTTGCAACTAACGTCAAATGACAGCCCACAAAGCGTCAATCGTGTTCAATAGCGATTTTACAGTTTCAACCAGGATTCCTAACTTATCTTTTCTAATGGCCCGTCCAATCCTGCGAGCATTCAAGGGAGGCGAAGGGTAGTGGGTTTAGGGAGGGAGGGGAGGGTTTGGATCTCCAGACAGGAAATGCCAACAACGCCCGACGTTTGGCACGAGACTTGTGATTGCATGCAAGGATTGCACGTATCTCAAATGACATTTACCTTTATCATGGTTATTAAGTGACGCGATCACCACACACCAGCCACTGGGCCGAAGCAAGCGTATTACGACATGCATAAATCGTTACTTTCATCAATTAGCTCGCTTAGCTCGGTATCCCTTTTCGGTGAGGAGCTGACTGCTTCGGTTATGACTAGGCTCTGTCCCTCTTCAATAATGCAAGCTTTGCATGCGCTTATTACCACTAACCCCTGGATCACTGTCTCCTTCTCACTATTTTCTTTGGGAATGGTGTAGCGGCCAGTCAAGCTACATTTAGTCTTGACTTCTTTGCCTCTTCTTATGACAATTTACTAACTTGCCAAGTATTGTATTAAGCCTTGTTTTTGTTTGCTTTCCTTTTTCTTAGCAGGGAGTGTCGCGACTTGCATCATATTTTTGTCTTGGGAGGTATTAACGTAAGGTTCTGTTGTCGCGTGGGTCAGTGGGTGGGCACTCCTGGTCGTCTGATCTAAGGCGGCGGCTTAGAAAAAAAAATAAGTCATTAATCATGTCACTCTCGGTAGAAATTACTCAAATTAACCCGCGCCCTGCTGGGGGGTGTTTGAACACCCCCCCCCTTGTGGTTTTTTGCGAAGCGCCGCCGTTTTTGGTACACCTTATCATACATCAATTCTACACATGTTGTGAAAATTTCAGACCAAGGTCATTCAAGGTCAGGTCACCAGGTCACTTGAAGTGACCTCACCTCATAAAATGTTTCAATGTCTGTCATAGCTACACCGAGTGACCGATCGCTTTGAAACTTTCAGCGATTGCTAAGAGCAATAGCATGTACAAATTGTATATCTCAGAATTTTGATATCCATGACCTAAGGTCAGGTCAATTTTGCGACCTCCCCATTATAAGTCAATGGGAGAAAATTGAAATGCGCCTCTTTTGGACGAAAAGCATTATATACACTCCCAAACACTGAATTACAAGTGGTTTAGACACACTGAACATGAAAATGGTGTCCGTGACCCCTGTTTATGCCCTGAGGTCATCTTAGGTCACGAATGGTATCTGACAGTTTTTCGCAAATAACTTTTGATAGAGGCATGCTAGAGCGATGAAAACGCCTTATATGTGTTCAGCTCGACGATACGGATCGACTGATATGCAACATGACCCTTTCCGGTCAGGTTGGGTCATCACCTTGACCTGAGGTCAAATTTTCAAGTTGATCTTTCAAGGTCAAGTTATAGTTCATTCGATGCGTCTTGACGAGAGGAACACGATGCCGGTTAAAGTAAGCTCGTACAAGGCTTGGGTCAAAAGTTATTGCAGAAAAACTGTTTCCGAAAAAATCGGCTATTTTTGCAGTTTTTGCCCCCTGCAGGCAAAACCGTTGACGTTAGGTCAAATCTGAGAGAATTCCCCAGAAAGGGCGTTAATAGGGCTATCGAATGCGCTTTTCCGTGGCGCTGTAGCTCTATTGGTTCCCGAGTTATGCGTTGGCTCCTTGGAAATTGTCGACATTCGACCTGGAAATCGGCGAAATTTTGCCTTCAATGACCTCTGGTGACCTGACCTTTGACCTGACCAAAAAATTGACCGAAGTGATTTCCTCATTGTTTTTGACGCTCTTTCGAACGCCGCCTTCCGCGTATCGCTACGTGGCCCAGGAGCCGAGTTAGAAGGGCCCATGGACTGTATGGACAATGGACATGGACTGTAAACATACAGTCCATGTTCAAACACCCCCCCCCCCAGCAGGGCGTGGAAATCCAGGACCCCCAGCCGGGCGCGGGTTAAAACAAAATATAGGCATCGAATCAAATCGTCAATCGTCATCACGTCCAAATATGCCTTTATGAACCACATTTAGCAGGGGTTACCGTCCTTCAGTCGTCGATCTTCCAGTCCTCTCAAAAGGCGTTGGCACGGCGCCTGAGGCGTCGGCTGCGGCGCCGCGCCGGTCCGCCGCTCCAGTCGCCGGCTTGTTTACATTGGCCGTGCTGATGACGTCACCTATGAGACTCGCCGCCCCGTCACTGCTGGCTCCCCTCCCCTCCCCCTACACCAACCCCCTCGCGCCACGAGAAACATACAGTCCATTGGCATCGGCTGCCGAGCTAATGGAAATGCGATAATTTGAGTAGCAATTTGTCGTGTCATAGAAGTTAAAGTGACATTTAATTCCAGAATGAATTAGATTTTATTAAAATTAACACAGTGTGTTCTTGATATTTTGAGTCACTTCTTCCACGAATGATTTTTGTTTTGTTGGGTTAGGCCCTTTCGGTCGACAAGACCATTGCAGAGCCGGAAGGATGATAGGAATTAGGGGGAGACATTGGTCTGGGCAGGCATCCTAGAGAGTCGCCGGGGCTGAGCCCGTCCATAGGACAGGCCGACCAGCCCCCCAAGTACTCTCTGCACCCGGCTACGGGGTGCAGCTCCCTCGGGAGCAGCGGTGCCGCTCCAAGGGAGCAGCCCGCATGAGATAAAGATGCCTGTCCAGCCCGGAAGGGGGTTGTGGCGTGGAGGAGAAGGATTTCAGTATCCTGAGGATAGAAGCACGGATAGGTGTCCACGAATGACTCAAAAACAAACGTTTGTAGGTCTGGTTGAAGGTCTTTGTAGGTCTCAAAACCTCTGGCTACATGACACTGCTACAGGCTACTGTTAATCATTGCTGCACTGGGATGGTAGCGAGCAGCCTTACGCTGCAGCGTCCAGGTGGCGCTCGCTGCGCCATACAGATGTCGCTAGTATGCAGGAGCTCAGTGCCACAGCAGCTGAAGGTCGAATCAATCAGCAGCGTGTCCGTGAGAGCTGTCGAAGAGCGCACTAGAAAAATCAGTCCTTGCTATCCTCAGGACAAACCCATCCGCATTCCGCCTCACGCCTCCCCTTCCGGTGGTGAGAGAATACCCACACCAGGGCCACTTCCTCTCCGGGATGGCCGTTTGAGCGGCAGGGTGGGCTGTCCCACTCCCATCGGGACATGCCCCTCCCACCCACCGGGACAGTCTCTGCCCCGCAGTGCACCGTTGGTGGTCCGCACATTCAAATGTCTACATCTTATCCTATAGAGTCTGATATGAGTGAGATGGCTGATATGCGAGTAATCTCCTACGAAGAAAACAAGCAAAACAAAAACAAAAATGCTACCGATTTTATGCATAAATCAATACCTTTTTCTCTCTCCAAGCAGTTTCATACCTACTTATACATATTTCGGATAGTTCGGATTATAACTTTCTCATCTGGTTGAGTGGCCGGTTTTGTGCGCCTCGTACCTGTCTCGACTATGACAGAGCCTAGCAATTTATGATATTGCTATAATAGCTCTTTCGTGAATGTCTTCCAACTTATTGCAAGCGACTCATAAATAAGTAGGTATATTTCGACTTGTATGTTTCCGTGCTCTATAGATCATGGAAATCCGTCGCACAGACAAATCGTCGTAAGGCACCACACAATTCACATCAGGCACTCATTCACGATCACGAGAACAGTGTCCACCAAGCTGCGATCAGTTGCGACCAGAGATATGCACTACGGTCTACGGCACTAAACTATGAAGAAGCATGTTCCCAGTTCCACATTCTCATCATGACTCACTGGCTAGCGAAACAGACCTTCCCTCAAATCGACCAGGGACTGGAATCGAGCGGGTTTTGGTATGAAAAAGCGAGAGTTTTCTCTCTTTTTTTTTGCGAAGGAATGTTGGACAGAAGCACTGGCGGATCCAGACTTGCGTTTTTTTTTTGGGGGGGGGGCCAACTCCTGCAAGTAACCAAACCTAGGGTACCCCCAAATCCTGTTTTCTCATCGGATTTAGGCCACTTATTTTTTCGTCACAGCCCTGAAACGATATTTTTTTAAACTAAAAATAAAAAAAAATAGAAATGGTAGCCCACCCAACCCGAGCCTAAATATTACTTTGAAAACACTTCAAATTGCTTTTGTCGACCAATTAGCCCGCTCCGGGTCGGTGCGTGGCGCAGCCTTCGCGGGCTGGGAGGTGTCGGTTGGACCCCCTGCCGTTCGGCCCCTGATTAAGCTAGAGCTCGCGGAAAAAAAAAACAGGCGTGTTGCCCGTTAGTGACGAGACGAAGCCGATGATACCCGATTTTAAGGTCCTTGGTCATTGGTTGACCTTCCAGGGCGGTGTTTCACGGTCGTGCTGACAGCCGCTGACAGCGCATTCCGCGAGCTAAGGTCAGCCTTCGGTAGTGTTGTGGGTATAGGCTTGTTGATGTCTCCATTGAAACCAAAAGTGCCATCAGCGCTGGCAGCGGCTGGCAGCGTGCCGTGAAACACCGCCCAGGTCAGGTCACAGACCCAAAAGACGGGAAAATCAGGACCTGTCAGAACCTCCTAAAGTGAGGCTGTAATACGTTTTTTTTTGTGCTGATCACAAATTTCATGTTAGTTTGGATCATAGATAATGTCTTCATGCGTTTAGACCATGTCGGGGCAGGTCAGGTCAGATCAACCAGTAGGAGTACTTATGGGCGTCCGTATAGCAGGTGTCCACTACC